ACTTACCTGCATGGGTAAGTATATCTCACCTGCTCACTCTCTCTCCCCATCTCTCTCTCTCGCTCGCGCTCTCTCTCTCTCTCTCTCTCTCTCTCTCACACACACACACACACAGAGAGAGAGAGAGAGAGAGAGAGAGAGAGAGAGAGAGAGAGAGATATCCAGGGTCTGCCTTTTTTCCCTGCTTCAGAAACACTTTAAACAGTGGGTGATTCCCTACCCTACACTGCTGTTTTTCATGCAGCAGCATATTCCCTCTCACTATATGGACTATTTTCATAACTGAAACTAGGAATGCCTTTTAGCCTGGAATTTGTCTTATACATAATGAGAGACAGAAAGAAGAGTCCATTTTAACTTCAATGCAACTTTCAAATTAAATCCACACAAGTTGAGATCCACTATCATATTAAAAAACAACAACCGTATACTAATCCATTTCCCTCTTGCACAGATGGGTTTTGTTCAGTGGCAGAGCACATGTTTTGAATGCAGACTCCAAGGCCAAGTTCAATCCTTGACTTCTCTAGATAGGGCTGGAAAACCCTATAAAATTCCTGCTGATCAGGCAATACAATCAGGCCTTTAAACAAATTTAATAAATAAATACTGAGCTAGGCAGACCATCCACCTAACTTGACATGGACAATATCCTACATGAGTAAAGTATGGCACATTGATTTTTCTCCAAGGCAAACCCCAACAATCATTCAGGCTTCAAAACTTTTCCCTAGAGGTGATTCATACTTGCCACAAGCAACCAGGATAATGGGTATCTACAAGGCTGATCCACTGCAAGCTTTTCATTTAAACTTCAGATGAGAAGTAACAATGAAACAATGAAAACATCATGTGAGCAAATGTGCTAATGTGGTCAGTGCAAGATGGTTGTGGATGGCCATTCAATATGTGCACATTACCTGGCCTTGTGGGTAGGCTGCCTTCTTCTCAAGCACCCTTGCCAGTCCAAAATAAAGGTTGCTAACCAGGCAGCCTAACCAGTAAAAACTGCAATGTGGCAGGAAAACAGCACTAGGAAAGGAAATGCCAGCGCAGCTCCATCCACAGTCCACCATGTTTTGCTTCAGCTGCACCCAGGCCCACCAAAGACTTCCTCGGCTCCACCTAGAACTCACCAGTTTCCACCCCATCTCTGCTCCCCCACTCGACTCTCTCTTTGGCTTTGCTTGTCTAAGATTCTCCCCACTCCCTTTCCTAGGGGAGGACAGCCAGTCTTTTAAAAGTTAGAACCTGGTATCCCTGAGACTGAAATAAGACAGGGTGAGAGAAGTATGGGAGAACAGAACAAGGCCAGTATTCAGTGACTAAGTGCAGACACTACAATAACCAGCACTCAAGGATGGAGTATGGGTTGAGCGTGGGTTGCCAATAAGCCATAGGTTTTTGTTGGAACATGAGTTATGTTCCAACAAAAACCTATTTCTCAGCTGAGATAAGAAACCATGGTATACAGCCCACAGTTCACAACAAATCATGGGTATTCTTCATGGGTTGTCCATTATTAACAAGCCATGGTAGTTAGCATTGCTGGATCCAAATAATGCACTAACACATTTTGACAACACACACTGAACCCATACTCAGCCCTTAACTGTGGGTTATCATGTTGCCTGACCCCAGTTGGTATATGTACCAGCACTACAAGCCAACTCAAAAACAGATTAAGAGGATCCATTTGCCTACTTCAGCAAGGCTGAAAATAAAGGTACCATTTCTTCCTTTGCTACTTTTACCTGTTCAGCAGGTAGCTGCTCTGTCAGTTTGCCTTCTCCCTTTGAGGTCTGCCAGACAGTGTATCCATTTATCACCCACCCACATCAAGCAATCTGGCGACACTACCACCAATGCAACTGCTTGTTGCATTATATCCCGGTACAGTGCCATTATCTCACAGCCAAATCAATAGAATCACGATCGCCTGAAACTGCAGCAAGAGGAACATGGCTTTTTATTGGTTTGACACTTACAACAGTAGACAATGTTGTAGAAACTAAGCCTTGTATAGAATGGAGAAAAACTCCAGCCATCCAGGAGAAAAAAACTCAATCCTGTCTCCAACCTGCTTCATTAAATAAACTGATCACTGCTCAAAGTCCAGAAAAAATATCTCATTGTATTGGAGAAGGAGATGGCATGTTTGCTGCACTGTTCTTCCCACTCATTCCTGTTACTATGTTTTTGTGCGAGATGCAGAAATGTGGAGTAGGTAGTTCTCGGATCTGGTGGTTCGAATGCAGTCCAAACTATCAATCCAGTTATTGAAGGAAATCTGATGGTGGAGGACAGCCTAGCAGGCTTGGTTTAGAGTATAAATTCAGCTTAGAAGATCATCATCTTCATCAGCTAACTTTGCAATCTCACTCTGCCAACACCATTCTATTATTCTAAATAATTTTAAATAATGTCAACTTGAAATGGCACCTTTTGCATGCTTTTGTGCACTCTGTGTAATAATAACATCATAATAATTTGTACTCCCTTCTATCCAGAAATTTCCAAGCAAGGAATATTATAGGCATCAGAATGAGATGCAAGTGATCCTGTGCAATACATTTTCCTTCCTCATTTTGAGCATGAAAAGAATTAGAGGTACAGACAGGTAGATGTGCCTGCCCAAGAATGCCACAAAAATATCAAGTCTGAGAAAAATATTATATTACATTTACATGAGCCATATAAAATGCCATAATTCACCACTTTTTTTGTCCCATGGAAATATGCATGCTAAATCAACTCCTGTTTTACAGTTCCTTAGACCATGGCAATACATCTTCCTGGGTGAATGATGATACCTATTGAAGGAAATTTCAGTAGCATACAGTGCACTGTGAAATGCAGGTGTCTGCATGCCACATGTACTTTATCAGACCCACTATACAGATGAGGGGAACTTGAGGAAGACACCAGCAACACCATGTATGTCGCTAATAGTTTCAGCTCTGCATCCAGCTAATAAATTGATACACAGATAAAATGTCACATAACTATAATTTCCAAAATGCTTTTAGCCAGGTCACCCCAATGACATTCTTGTTAGTTTTATTAAAAATGCATTACTTTGTATCTTAGAATATCTTGCAGTCTGAAAAAGAGGCAGCTTTCCCTGGCAGGCAAGACCTTCATCTAGCAGAGATGAAAGACTTCTATGATTTTCCTTTGCACGAGAGAAGCAGCCTCTCTCTGCAACAGCACCGTGGATGGGTCACCAAGAGCAAAGCACAGCCCTGTGCAAAAGGATACTGTTGGTACAGTGCCATGCGGAACAGACAGAATCTGGAACTGGAAAACAGACAACAACTTTGAATGTATGCACAGATTTTGCATGCAAAAACCATGCTCCTTGTGACTCCACAGTGATAACTGAGAGTACCTCATGGTAGGTTTATCTCTCAAGCAAGCAGAGGTTCCATGCTTTGAATGTAACAGTGCTGTGTATTGCTTTGCATAATCACTCCTTTTTTTTTCTTTTTCTTCTTCTTTTTGCCATTGTGGCCCTCCCTGTTCTACAGGTAAACATATACAGTTAATGTATTCTGAATAATTCTGAAGGCCTTATCTACATTCTGTAAGAAGCAACATCCAATTAATTCAGCCTATGGGCTAATTTACCTAAATGCTAAGTGGCCTGGCTCACAACAGCTTTCCTGAGTCTCAGGCAGGCTTCCTGCTCAACCCTGCTACCGCTTTTGTTCTTTTCAACTGGAGAGACCAGAAATTGAACCTACAACCTCCTGAATGCAAAGCATGTGCCCCGAACCGAAAAAGGAAACACTGTGAGTCACTCTTCTCACATGCAATGAGATTTTGCCACCAATGAAATCTGTGAATCCCATTCTGCACATTTCAACACAAGTGGGGAAAGAAGAAATTCACATCACTTGTCCTGCTCCCCGCCCCACCTGCCTGCCTGCCTTATTTTCCTGGTATAACATGGACCAGTGTGCATCCCATGCTGCTGTTACATTGTGAGTGAGTGTATGTACACGCACACACGCGATATAGGTCGCTTATTTTTCTGAACCCTCATAAGCAAAGCAGGGCACTGGCATGAGGACCTCAGATACAAGTAAACGAACTTCAAGGCACACGAATTTGAGCGCGCGCAGGATTCGTTCTTCGCCGGGCGGGGTCGTCCTCGCATCTGGACTCCCAACTTGCTGTGCAACATCCCGATGAAACGGACCCTCAGCGTGCTGCATCTCACAGCTTTGGCGACCGGTCAGAGAGCGAAAAAGACGACCAGTTCCTACGTGACAGTCTAACTCGCGCGTGTATACAGGAAGGCGACTGCCTGAACGACGGACCCAGCCCTCGCACCAGCGCGCTTTCTGTCCCATGCCCACAAAGATCCCGAGTCTCGCCCGCTCCATTCCCACGTGACCCCCCGCCCCCCGCCACACACCTCCCTGCCACGCCAGCCGCCCAACCCGCTCTCCTCGCCACCAACTCGCATCTGGAATAGCAAAGCCCAATCTTCTCCGAGCCCGCCTCGTCCCCACTTGCCTTGCCCTTAGCCAAGAAAAAGGGACCGGCACTTCCCAGCCGGAGGAGGCGATCCCGGACGACCGCGCGGACAGCACTCCCCGCCCTTCGCCCCCGAGCGCTCCCCACTGCCCCGCGCCGCCACTCGGCTGCTCCCCCCAAACACACACACACACACACACTCACTCTTCATTGTAAATGCTGCCATGGTTACGGGCAGGAATGCCACGAACGCCCCGCGCGAGGCGAAAGAGCGCCGCGCAAAAGCCCTCCAGGGGCGCGCAACTCGTCCTCCCGCCCGCTCCCCGCGCCGTCCTCCTCGCCAGCCCTTGCGCCGCCCGGCCGACCTCGTCCCCAGCGAAGCGCGCGCGGGGGGCTCCCGCGGGCGGGCGAGCGAGCACGCGCTGCAGTCCAGCCCCGGGAGCGGCGGCGAGGGCGGGCACGTGCAAGACCGTCGCCAGTGCCTTCCCTCGGCACCCGGCGTGTGCCATACTCACAACGAGGGGGATGGTCCTTTCTTCCTTGTGGCTCTCCAGTTTGCCCGAGGATCTCTGCCCGCTCCTGCCGCCGCCGGCGCTGCTGCTGCTGCTGGGGGACCTGCTGGATGCCGCGGAATGAGGCTTGTTGTCCTGCCACAAGTAATAGAAAGTGCCCAGGATCCAAGCGACGGTCAGGATTGCGATGGCATTAGCCCTGATCCTCCTCATCCTGAGAGCTCCAGCGGCGCCCGGCAGCTCCGGGTCAACAGCGAAAGAACAAGAAGAGCAAGCGAAAGAAGAAAAAGTGCGTGCGGGGGGCGTCAGCTGTAGGAAAGAGACGCTGGGGAAGCGGTGCCCGGATTCTCTCTCCCCCTCTCTACTTGGCTGGCTCGTGCAGTCACAGCTGTTTGTTTTAGCTCTTGTCTCACTGCTCAGTCCTGCAGAGCAAAGCAGGCGAGCGAGACGCACAGAGAGAGAGAGAAAGAGGGAGAGAGCGCACTTCTGGGTCCTAATGCCCTTTTTTGCCTATTTTAAATGAGCCACCACATATTTGAGCATCGCTGGAACCGACTAACCGTCCATCCTGCAGGGACAGTCTAGCGTTTTCTTCGGCTGCTCGGAGGGGGCAGGGTTTCGCAGTTTTGTCCTCCCGTTTTTCACCTGCTTTGGCATCTCTGGGAAGCCTGGCGATAGTTCCGAGGGAGGAGGGGAGAGTAGCATGGCGCAATACGTTTTGCTTAACATTCTCATAAAGCAGCAGAAAGCAATTTATTCGTTGCCAAAGGCTGCTGTGGGAAAGCATCCTACAAGCCTGAGTGCTGCTGCTTAACTGCTCATTCATAAACACAACATCAACACTATTTGCATACAATCGGCTTAAACATTTGCTGGCTGCCAAGATGCTGCTGCTGGATGTGTTGCAGTGCCTGGCGCCCTGGGAAGTGTGACAAGCCTCTTGGCTAGTGAATCCTCCGGCCAGACCAAATAGCCTGGAACCTTATCAATGCAAATTCACAGAGTTCAAAATCAAAACAAAAGGTCTGAAAACATGAAGGTAGAGGAATTTGCCTTCTTGTACATTATGACCTATGTCTTCCTCAACCTGGTGCCCTGCAGATGCTTTGGACTTTGCAGTTGTGATGTATATTGTAACCCTAAGGTTTAGAATTTTTTAAAAAAAAAACATCAGAACTGCTGTTCCCACCAGTAGGACAAGAGCCTGTTCTTTGGGGAGTTGCTTGCAGCCTGGTTTAACTTCATGAATGGACCTTTATTGCACTGATAAGTGAATTTCAAATCCCAGCTTGAAATGATCCACAAAGGATCAAAGTGAAGTGATGTCCCTTGACATGGGGATGTGTGTGATGAGTACACACTGCCTACTTCTCCCACTAAAATGAAAAAGAGGCAATCAGGTTTAAACTATACTTCTAAAGGGAACGGAATCTGCCAGTGTTGCAGTCAGAATGGCCCCCCACTAACTTTTGTGAGCAACTGTGGCACCGATGATTCAGAAGGAATGATTCAGCTTCCTGTCTCAGCCAGAACTGATTCAGTAATCTAGCATCCCAGTAAGGTGATATCAGATGTAAGACATGGTGGTCCTGGCAGAGCCTTGTGTTGATAAAATTCTGTAACACCTCCTTGAAAATGGGGCACTGCTTGACCACAACTTGGCCACATTCTCTCAAAGTTGCATACAAACATCTTACCTACATTCTGCAGTATTGGGGAGGACACACTGAATGTAATATCTGGTAGTGCTTCTACATTGTTGTGAAAAGTTGCTTTACGCTGTTACAATAGCCCAAGAAGCCTGCTTCTACCATGAGCTGAATGAGTTCCCATAATCCCCTGCCTCAGAGGAGCACCGTAGGAGCTGCTGCCTGCTGTGTCACCAAAGAAGACCAAAGACAGGAGATTTTGCCTGAATAATGCTGGTTCCACATGGACAGGATGCCCTCTACAGTTGTTGCCCACATGAAGAGGGAAAATGAGCACAGCAATTTTAGCTTTGCCCCCATCTTTGTGCTGTTCTTTTTGGATTGAGATTGCTTGCTAGTTTGCTTTGTTTCTTTTGTAACTTTTATATAGTGCTTCACATCTGAACAGATTTCAAAGTGGCAAACAATAAGAGGTAAAAAGAATAGAAACGCTGTATGAAAACATGAAGAATGATACCGCATTCAAATAAAAACAGTATAGTAAAAATTGCAGCTCTTCAATCAAGGAAGGCGTCTTGAAATAAACATGTTTTCAGCAGGCACCAAAAATAACACAAAGTTAGTGCCTGCCTGACCTCCAGAAAGGACGACAGAGAGAGGAAGATTCCACAGAGGGGAAGGCACCACTGAAGCCTCTACTCTGGATAGATTACATCCAGGCCATCCTTCCATGCAGAGCCACCAGGAGTTTGCCTTCTGATGATCCTAGTGAGTGAGCAGGGTGAAAAGAGAGAAGGCAGTTATCCTGATTTCAGGTTGTTTAGGGCTCTATATACTGGTACCAAAACCTTCAACCTGCAGTTCCCTCAGCAAAGGAGTTGCAAGTTAAAAAGAGGCAGCACCATAGAACATCTGACCTACTGCATTTTGTATTTCTAGACAAGCCTCAAGGGTCACCCCACAAAGAGTGCATTGCACTAACTCATTCTTGAAGTTTCTAGTGCCTCTACAACTGTGGCAGAGTCATCTCTGCTCAGAAGAAAGCTTAGCAGGAGTCCAGGGAAATCTGAGCTGCCATGGCCCTCTGGGTCTCCATCAACAGTGATGGATCCAGGAGCATCTGCAAACTATGAACCTGATCTTTCAGAGAGAATGTTACCCCATCCAGAACAGACAATGGGCCTATCTCCTAGGCTCACATATCACTCATTCACAGGGCTTCCTTCTTGGTAGGACTAACCTTAATTTATTAGCCCTTCATCATCCTATCACTGAATTTAGACACTGATCCAGGACTTGCCGAGCCCCATCTAATACAGATCTCTCTCTCTCCCTCTCTCTCTCTCTCTCTCTCTCTCTCTCTCTCACACACACACACACACACACACACACACACAGTGCAAGAGAGAGCTGTTTGTCATCAGCATTCTGATGGTACTTGGCTCCAAATCCCACAAAGGTCATTACCAGTGGCTTCATATAGATGCTAAACAGCACTGAGAACAAGATGGTACTTAACAGAATGCCACAGCTCAATTGCCAAGAGCCAAGGAATCCGAAATTGACTCCATAGGAAAGACAGGAACCAATCTAACACAGTTCCTCCAATGTCCAACCCACAGAGTTGATTCCAGAGGATAACATGGTTGATGGTATCAAAAGCCAATCAGAGATTGAACAGAATTAGCAGGATTGTAGTCCCGACTCCCTCTTCCAATAAGGAGAATCCATCAGGGTAACCAAGACTGATTCAGTCCCATGACCAAGTCGAAACCCAAACTGGAATGGTTTTAGATAACTAGTACCCCTCAAGGGTGCCTGCAGCTGCTCTGCCATGACCCTCTCAAGCTTTTCCCCCAAGAAAGGAGTATCTGCAATTGGGGTAGTACATAGTTGTTAAATAACACTGAGTCAATGGTAGTAGAGTGGTCACACTATTATGATTGAGACAAACCTTTTCAGAATTCATCCGTGCAGAATCCACAGACTTCCCCTCATCCTCAGTCTTGTCGGCAAAACAAAGCTGAGCCAAGAGGAAGTCCTCGAATGCTCATGGATTCAAACGTGCAACTGGCAGCATTCAGCAGCCGCAGTTCCTGGTGGTCCTCCTCCTTCCCTGCTCACTGCTGGTGGTGGTGGCCGCAGTGAGGGAAAAGGTGCACAGCGAGTGGGCATGCCGGCAGTCTTCCTCAGCAGCCATCCGCCTTCCCCATTCACTGCTGCTGGCTCAATTCCAAAACAAGGGAATCCAGCAGTTTTTCTACAGAAGACAGTTCCTCACACATCCCTGCGCTCTGCTGTTGCCTCAAGGACAGCAGGAACCACCCTCCCTAACTAAGAGGCTTCAGTGGGGCAGTGCTTTTGAGCAGTTCCTTCTACCGGCACCATGTCTGGGTCAGGCTGAGAAGCAGGTGAATAAGCAGGTTGCAGTGGCAAAGAGAGGAGGAACCATTCTTGGGGGCCACTTTGAGAGCCTTGTGGAGCTATAAAGTGGAATGTAAGTATTTTAAATAAAGAGAACAGGACTCTCTATGGAAGGCACAATTCACCAGAACATTCTTCCAAGTGTGCTGTATTGAAATGGAGAACAGCAAAAGCACAGTCATTTCCTTCCAATGGGGCTTGCATAGATTGTGTTCATGATTATTATTTCCATTTATATTCAATGGCAAAATTATTTTATGAGTATCTGCACTTTGAAATTTCCCTCCATACTACTGCTTGTGGCTGCAGCTAAATATTTATTTCCTCACCCTTATACTTGAAGAATGCAGGCTCTCGTTTTAAAATGAAATGGTTCACTTTTGACTGAGGTCTTGCTACACCACAGACATGTAAACAACGGGCCGTTGTTCCTCGTGGTTAGACCGTACTTTAGGAACGTGGCAACTGCTTCAACCCCAATGTTCAGAAGCCAGAAGTTTAAAAATGGTATTGCCAGAGTATTTGATCTGCCGCTGAGGGCCTATTGCATAATCATTCAATGTTAGCTCTGAAAAATAACATTGACTGCTTGTATTACAGAAAATAAAAGGATTCATATTCATCACATCTACCATTATAAATCAATACAGCTAGGCTGCCACCCATTTTGTGCTTAGGAAAGCTTTGTGCATTACACTTGTCAGATGTACATTTATGTTGTTTCAAGTGTAAGTGTCCAGTCTCAGTGTGACAGGTCAGAAATCTGCAAATGCATGATTTAGGAGCCCGGCTTAGCTGTGACCCTCGGTATACACAGAGGCAAATCTGGGCTCCTGTCATGTGACTGTTTTCTCATAAAACATCACAATACTGTTCCTATTTAATTCTTTCCTGTTCTTCCCAGGCCCGCATGGGAGCAGAATGCTGCAGTAGATGGGCCTTTGGTCTGATCCAGGAGGGATATTTTATGTTTTTAATCATTAATGGTATTTTATTCAAGCCTCACCCATCCTGATCACCTGGGTTGATGCAAACCAGACACAGGAAGGGGGGGTGTTCATTTTAGATCAAATGCCCATTTTAGCAAATGCAGATTTTATATGTGAAATATAAAGGAAATGCAAAAATAAAAACAAAAAAAGATTTGAAGAGCTGTTTGTAAAAACTTCCTAAATGGTAAACAATGGGCATAATTGATTATCCTTTCACTTTCAGTGATAGCAGTGCTACATAAACTCCCAATACTGGAGCTGGGGTTGCCAGTCCTGGAGACAATGTATTGGCATACGCCAAGGGT